CCCCTGCCCGTGGCTGGGACCGTGCTGCTGCTGGTAACCACCTTGTGGGATTCGTTCCAGCTCTTCGTCTGGAACGCTCATGCTTCGTGCAATCACAGATGGACGAACGTTCTGCCTCACAGGCTGTGCGCATTGCTGGTTACTGAGCTGGTTACCACTAGGTCGAGGAGCGTTACAACCCCCTGCGACACCAGCAGCACCACGAGGGGCAATCCCCGGCCCTCCCTGCTTGCACCTGTCTAGATCCATCGAACCGCTTCCCATAGTAGCGCGATCCCCGCTGATGCACTTGCGCATTGACCGCGCCTGGTTGGAAGCCAGCCGCCCACCCGCAGCGTTCCCCGCGGGCAGTCGCGCCCCGCAATTCCCGCCGCCAGTACCGGAGTACGCGGCATTGCTACCATGTATTAGCTCCGCGGGCTCGTCGCTGACAGAGGCGCCGGCGATCGCGGCGGCTGCCTGGTCTAACGACGCCGCGGAAAGACTAACGGAGCGATTCTTCGCGGGGACGGCGGCGGCAGAAGCGTAGCGCTTATGGTGCGGAGGCGGGGGTGCGCTGATGCGCAGTTGGCGGTGCTGGTGGCGCTCCTGCTCGTGCTCCGCGGCGTAGTGTCCCGCTGGCACTCTCTGCGAATAGTCCACTGACGCAGCGGACGCCCGTGTCCTGCTGCGGGTCACATACGTATCTACGTACTCGTGACTAGGCTCCCCGTTTCGGTTAGGTTCTCGGTAATCTCGAAGTTCGGACCGGCCGGCGGACTGAGAGCGACGGTAACTGTTGGGCGGAACGCGCACCTGCTGCTGCTGCTGAAGCTGCTGCTCATATTGCTGCTGCTGGTGCGGGTGATGCCTTTCGGGGTGCGAAGCTGCGTGCGACGGCTGCTGCTGAGTCGCCGGTTGTTTCAGCGGACTGAGTCGCTCCCTCGCTCCCTCGTCACGACGAGAACCATGATCCCTCTCTCGTTCCCTTTCTCGCTCGTACCCGCCGCGTCTGGGACTATCCCGCTGCTGCCGCCTCGCGCCGTCGCCGCCCCTGCTCGCATCCCCCTTCCTCGCCGGCGTATTCTGCGACCGGTTCCGCGACTGCTTCCTGCACGAATCCGGCGACCGGCTTGACCGGCTTGACCGACTCGTCCTGGACGCGTTATCGTCGGAACCGCTCCACGATTTTGCGTCTCGCGGAGACTGCGTTGACTCCGGGGAACTCAACGACCGCCTTGACTCCGGCGAACGCGGAGACCGCGTAGATTCGGGAGAGCGCGGCGACCGCGTTGACTCAGGGGAACGCGGCGACCGCGAGCCTGAGCGACGGCGCGAGCTGCCGTTCGAGTCGCACCTTGTGTGGCGTCTGTCGCTGCTTCGAGGCGACGAGCGATTGCTGCTGCCGTCATTGTCGCTGCCGTCAACATCGCTGCCGTCATTGTCGCTGGCATCACTGGCTTCTTCGTTCTCGCTAAAGTCGTCGTCAGTACAGCTATCAGTAGGCTCGTCCTTACTCTCGTACTCAGTACTATCTTCGTCCAGGCACTTCTCACTTGGCCGTCGGTCATGGCGGTCCGCTCTGTCTACACCGTCCCTTCCACTGCCTGCTGCTACCTTCTCCCGACCGTTGCCGCTACTGCTAGCGCCTCTGCCGCCGGCTCTCCCGCCACCTCTACCGGGAGCTCTACTCGTTCGGCTGTGCTCATCCTCCGAGTAGCTGTCAGCTGACACGTCATCGTGACGCCCCACGGGAGATTCAGCGCACTCCTTGCCCGTTCTGGCACGCTCGCGGCGCGTGCTAGATGTTCCGCGCGCTTGCGTGGAAGACTGACGTGGTGCACCTGCTGTATAGCCCATAAAGACCCTCCTTTTGGTTCCAGCACTCTTTCCGCTCTAAGTGCTTACAATGACAAACTCGAGCTAGTCGGCAAACGTGTGTCGATTAGGAGGCGAGCGAGGTGAACACAGGCAAATTGAAGGAGGCAGGGACTGGGGAAAAGGATGCAGGAGTCCATGTCCAAGGTGTAAATTGCACAAATTCACTGGATGACCATTTGTGGGCAAACCTTCCAGGCTCGAGCAGAGGAGAATGGTAGCTGCAGGGGAAGGCTTGCTTGGTTTGTGCAAGCAAGGCATGACCTGGAAGTTGGTGGGCTGGGCAAAACAAGGGGAAAGGGACTAGGAGGCACCAGCACACCATCACCACCACCACCACCAGCTGCTAGGCAGCACCCTCAAGTAGATTGTGGAACTGCCCCAAAATGGAAATACCGACGTTCGTGAAACCCAAGGTTCACCTTGGAAACATGCCACACCGAGCCAAACCAGACCAGATTCGGCCAAACCATAACAAATCTCCCCGGTCAGGCCAAACCAGCCCAATGTGGCCCAAACCAGAACATTTTCATACCGAACCAGACCAAATTGGCCCGAACCAGAGCTTCTCACCAGCAATTGGTCTAGGAAGCCACGTCACACGATTCTCACAAAATGCCATTCGCTGTCGAATCATACCCCTGTCAGCCACAAAACGTGAAACCCCCCCGCTGTCAGCAGCAGGCCCGTGTAACAAACATTTCGCCAATGACACTACATCTGTGTACCACACCAATAGTTTCGTCAAACATTTCGCAAAACCGTCACAGGCATCTCTTCGCTTGGATCCGACAGAAGCCAAGTCCTTGTCAAGATACTCAGAGCGAGCAGCAAGATCTATCCAACCGCAACTCCTTCACATCCAAGTTCCTTCCAATGACTAGGGTAGGTTATCCTAATTGGCTCGCTGACTGACATGAATCTCACACGAACCGCCGTGCCTTGATCCGAAATGTCGGTTGGCTGTTCCCGCCTTCGATAACGTTTACTCAATTGCTCTGAGCCATAGATCGGTTCCGCTTGAAAGACATCCGATGATTCTAGCTCACTCAGTCCCACGCTGTAGTCCCAACGGCCATCCCTCCAGGCCAACCTCAGTTTCTGAACCTGTTAGGTTTGGAGCCGCGCGGCTAGATTATGACAAGGATTTTTTTCTCGGTAGCCGTCCAGCGAACCGCGATAGTTGGGGTCCACAGCCTCAGTCCCCCCCACTCACTTGGGGTTGGCTGTGGAATACCAAGCACGGACATTCAGTCAGGAATATTGCAGGAACGACATTCCAACCAGCGGTTTCAAAGAGCCACATTTTCACCAGGGTTTTCTCAGAGCGACATTTTCACCAGTCAGTTTAGACATTCGCACATTCATTTGAACATTGCGCTCGATCCTCTTCGACTCAAACGTAGCCTTAGATGAAGCACATTGCCACTTCGACCGGGCAACTGTCTCATATCGTTCGCACACGCGATTAGCAACGAGCCTCACGCGCATCAGGAGGATTGGTTCGTAGACTCGCTGGTGGTTTCGCGGAGCTTCTACGTGCTCTGACATAGGTAATTTCTTATTCGGCTGTACTTCAGCGTGCCTTTTCTATCCATTCGTCATCGTTTTTGCCAGTTTCTGACGTGCGTATTTTTCTTCTGCAGGAAATGGAACATCGTCAGTCCATCATCAATGTCTGCTGTAGCTGACCATTTTCCAACCTCAAAGAGCATGTTTGCCGAAACAACGAAACTCCACAGTACCACGACGTTCCCTCGCGGAAAAGGTAATGTCTTTAATGATTTAGCCACCTTTTGTTGCATATATTGATCAATTTCTGATTCCACGTTTCTTCAATTGTTTACAGGCAGCTGAGCATCCGAAAACCTGTCAATGTCCGCCATCCAAGGTCGCCTTCCGCCACAACTGACTGATCTGCGTCGTCCGCGGAAATTGCGACGGACTCAAGCACACCAGCCACTGCGAGCTCGCGATTCCGCTCGTGGTTCAAGGTACAATCGAGAACTCACAATGGCATTCCGTTTTTACGCGCGTCAATTATAAATAAAACTTGTTTCAAGGATTCAAATCTCACAGATGTCTACGCTGTTTACTTTTCAGGACTGGCAGCACATCAGCCATGCAGAGACGAACATGCGATGGCTGAAACGCGCAGTGGAGGAGTACATGAGGAGCCCGAAGCAGCATGGCTTGCGTTTGACAACGTACATGGCTCCCAGGCTTCACCTATTGCCCGCATCGACGACCAATCATCAGCTAAGTGCTCGCATCCCACGCCAGCCCTCGGTTCGTTTTCTTGTCATTCCAGTTTCTCCCAAAACGGGGCCACTGGTGGCAGCACACGAAACAGCCCACAGACCCTCCCCATTACTGGTAAAGCCCTCCCCCAGGTAAAGCCTATCTCCAGGTAAAGCCCTTTGGTAAAGACCGTAGTCTGTGGCTTGTGAGTGTGCGTCCACCAGTGGCCCTCCTTTCCCTCTTCTTCTATGTATGTGTCCCCTTCCATGTAGTGACTCCCTCCCACTCACTGCCTCTCCCTCCCCTCCCATCTCCACCCCTCCATTCCCCTCCCCTCTAACCCCCCTCGCAGGAGCTCAAGAGCAGCGCTGCTGGTCGCCTGAGACGCCATGCCATGCCTGCTACCCATGCTGCTTCAACTGCCTCTTGCTCTCACGCCATCAGCTAAGTACCCGTTCCTCCTTGCCCTCACCCTTGCCTGCCACACCGTTTCCTTCGTTTCATCTGCTGCTGCACCGTCCTCTTGAAACAACGCCACTGGTTGGGTGCGGCTCACATGCTACAGACCTCGCTGCTTCAGGTGATTCCCTCAGGTGCAGGTAACCCTCTCAGGTGCAGGTATACCCCTCAGGTTCTTTTTCAGGTGCCCTTGGGTCTGTAGCTTGTGGCCGTGCCTCCTCCAGTGGCTCCTCTCTTCTCTTGCGTTGGTTCTGAAGTTATGGTTACCCAATCAACTTCTCCCACCTCCGTGCTCTGACTAGCTCTGTGTGTGCTCATTGCAGGTGGCGGGGAGGGGTGTGGGGTCAACACCGACGGAAATACGGGGACGTGCACTCACATTTTATGCTCACTCTACCCGTCTCTTCACTCATGCTGCTCATCGTGCACAGGTGTTCAACGAGATGCGGGCGTCAGGCATCCCCCCCACCACCTCCACCTTCAACTACCTCATAGACGCCTGCGCCACCGCTCCCCGCCCTGACGTGAGTGCCTACCGTCCCTGATTGTTCATTGCTCATTGGGTCGTTTCAAAAGGCAACCCCCCCTCACCCCCCACCACCTCCACCTTCAATCAACTACTTCATTGACGCCTGCGCCACCGCTCCGCGCCCGGACGCGAGTGCTCGTTTATCACTCTTTGAGACGCCTCGAAAGCCCCCTTCCTCTCCCCTTCCCACCACCTCCACCTTCAATCAACCACCTCATTGACGCCTGTGCCACTGCTCCCCGCCCGGACGTGAGTGCTTGTACACCGCTCTTTGAGATGCTTCAAGAGGGCCCCTTCCCCATCTCCATGTTCAACTATCTGGTTCATGTCTGCACCACCACCATGCACACGGTAGATGTGACTCGCACCACCAACCGCCCTTCTTCTCTCCGAACCCGGCTGCACCGCACGCCACCCTCCATCCCCTGTGCCACCTGCAGGCGGTGAAGGCGTGGAGCCTCTTTTCCGAGATGGAAGGTGCTGAGAACGTTCGTCCCAACGCAGAGACGTTCAACCTGCTGATCACCGCGTGCACCAAGGTGGGCTGCTGTTTCAGAGGTTGTTCTAGTTCAGTTTTGAGACGTCTCAAAACTACACCAAGGTCCGCCACTATTTCAGAGCTCTACTTCCTGGTTGCAAGTCTCGGGCTTGGATTTGAGTTTTCAGTTTCAGGTTCAAGCTACATGCTGGCATTGTTGGGCAGTTGGGGGGAAAGAAATGGAGCACTGAGAGGGTGTGTGTGTGGCATGGCGAGATCACACACACACCTCCTTTGCTGCTGCTCTCCCTTCACCTGTGCGTGCGTGTGTCTATCTGTGCGCGTCTGTGCCATGTGTCTGTGCCATGTGTCTGTGACAGGCGGGCGACCACGAGGGGGCACTAAGGGCGTTTGACATGATGAGGGAGAGGGGGTACACGCGCGCCATCACCACGTGCACCTTCAACAAGCTGCCTCTGCGATGTGTCCCTCTCTGCCTGTCTGTGCTGTGTTGTGACAGGCGGGCGACCACGATGGTGCACTAAAGGCATTTGGAATGATGAGGGAGAGGGGCTACACGAGGGCCATCACCACGTCCACCTTCAACAAGCTCATCCACTCCGCTGCTGCCACTCCCTCTGCCTCCACTGAAACCGCCTTCCAGGTATTCCACGCCCTCCCTTCTGTGCCCTGCCTTCCAGCTACGCTCTCCCCTCTGCGCCTTCATTCCAGGTATGCCCTCCCCTCTGCGCCTTCATTCCAGGTATGCCCTACCCTCTGCACCTTCATTCCAGGTACGCCCTCCTCTGTATGACCTCACTCTATGTGTGCCCTTCCTTACTGCATGCCTTCCAGGTATGTGTCAAGCCATCGACTCATGTTTTCCTGCTCACCCTTCCTCCCAACGCCCATTCCGCACTCTCTCACCCATCCTCCCACCAACCCAACCCCTCTCTCACCCTTCCTTCCCTCCCCTTGCTCACCCTGGACACACTCATCACGGCATGTGGCAACGACGGGGACGTGACCCCTGTGCTCTCCCCTCGCCCCTCCTTTCCACCACCGACCACCTTTATTCACCCACATCCTTCCTGTCTCCCTGGTCACCTCTCCCCCCACCAGCTGTACAGTCAGATGCGAGCGGAGGGGCACAGGCCAGACATGGTGACCCTGGCCACGCTCATCACAGCGTGTGGCAAGGACGGGGACGTGCCACACGCGCTAACCCCTCGCCCCTACTTCCCATCTCCCTTCCCCTTCACAGCTGTACAGCCAAATGAGGGCGGAGGGCCACAGGCCAGACGTGGTGACCCTGGGAACGCTCATCACAGCATGTGGCAAGGACGGGGACGCGGCACGGGCCATGGCAGTGCGGCAGGAGCTAGAGGCCGAGGGGGTGCCGCCCAACGCCGCCGTCTTCCACGCGCTCATGGCGGTGCAGGGCCGCGCTGGCTTGTGGCCAGCGGCGCTCGGCACGTTCCGGGAGATGCAGGGCCGGGCGGCGGAGTGGGAGCGGAAGGGGAGTGGCAGCACTGTTATTGGTGGCCCCAGAGAGGTGAGCATGGAGAGGTTGTATGGCCTTGCTGGGAAAGGTGAGGGTATCTGAAGCATGGGATGTTTTTCACAAGCTAATCAAGCTGTTTTGAAAGACCAGCATAATGCCCACGCCTCCCTGTTTCTACCCGGTCTCCTCCCCTCAGTCCCCCCCCCCTCCAAACCCTCTCCTCACCACCTCTCTCGCCCATCGGTCCCGCATGGCTTTATTCCCGCTTGGACCGCTTGGATCCGCCCCTCATTCCCTCCCCCTCCCCCCCTGCCCGTGGCCCTCGCCCATCTTACCCCTGCCCCAACCAGAACCCCCTGGCACCAACCCTCCCGGCGTATACAGTGCTTTTTGACGCGTGCTTTGGCCCCGAGGGGGCAGATGCAACAATCAAGAGCCTCGTCGAGAAGGGGCACAGGCTCTCCCTCACACCGGGTGAGATGAGCTGCTGCATGGCTGGTGGGCATTGGGAATGGGATTGGCGACAGGGAGGATTGGCAGGCCGGCGCGCCTGATGGCTTCAGTCTCCTTGCCCACTTGCTCCACTCATCTCCCCTCTTGATTTCAATCCTCTACTATTTCATTGCACCCTCCCCTCTTCCCATGCTGTTCTGTGCTTCTCAGCCCTGGCAGCAGCGGTGGAGGTGTACAGAGAGGCAGCAGAGGCGGGCACCTTCTCGCACTACGCCCTCACTGATGCCTACAGGTTAGCCTCTTCTGCTCTCTGTATACTCCCCCACCCATCTGCACCGCACACTGCTCTTTGCACTGCGCCTGTGCCGACCATGCTCCATCCGATCACACATACACCGTCAGCAGTTTCACCCTCATTCCCCTGCCTCCAACTCACTCTCCCTCCTAATCTTGCTCCCTCCTTCCCGTAATCTTGCTCCTTGCCCTGCCGGCATCCTGAGACCCTCCCCACTCATTCCCCCAATGCATGGCACTTGAGTGTACAGAAACTGCTGCTCTCTTTTCTCCAATCTATTTTCCTCTGCGTTGCTTCACAGGTGTGATGTGCGCAGCTCCACGCGCCCCATAGCCACCGTGGCCCTGCTCTCCCTCCTGCTGCATCTTGCCTCTCCTGCCGCCACCGCGGCTGCTGGCACTGCCACTCCTGCTGCTGCCACCGCTTCCCAAGATGTTGCTTCCACTGCTGCTGCTCCTGCACCTGCTGCAACCGTTACAGCTGCTGCCGCTGGAGCCTCAGCCGATGACTCGTTAGTGTGCGACTTGGTTATTGTGACAGGGATGTCGCGAGCAAAGGTAAGCTGATGTGCACACCCACACGCATCTATCGTAACGAGTCACCATTCGGGTTTACGTTCTCAGCATCTCAACCTCTCACGCACGGTTCACTACACAGTATGTGACTGTCTATCCTCACCTTCGTTTTCTCTGTGTGCCCTTCCTCATGCCCCCATTGTCATGCGTGCAGAACCAGCCAATAGGAGAGGCACCTCGGGGCAGGTTCCCGAAGCTGTTTGTGAGTGTGGATCGGACACTGCAGGCGGTGGGGCTCAAAGGCAAAAGCATGCGTGCTCTCACCATGCAAGCGCTGTCTGTGGATGCTCAACAGCTCGCGCAATGGCTCAAGACAGACGCTGCTGCCGTGTTTCCCGAGTTGAGCAAGTAGTGGTGGAATGTCTGATGCGGAAAGCTGGCAGTAGTGGTGGGCTGCAAGAAGTAGCGCTGTGTAGTCCCTTATTGGTGTTTTTTTTTTGTGTTAATATCTATAATCTGTTGTAAAACGTATGAAAGTAACACTGTTACGACCTGTTTACCTGTGGATTCTACTAGGAACAACCTTGCAAAACTGTGACGCGTACAATGCCAACATCAGAACCCTTCGAATTTGCGTCCTGATCCGCACTTGAGCACAAATGGCCGACTCATGGTTGAGAGTGTCTCGGGAGTATCGCGCTGCGGGCATCCTGCCGTACAGCTTTGACAGCGACGGCCGGCTGCTCTTTCTGTTCCAGGCAGAGGCGAGCAAGAAGAAACCGCACGCGCGGAATAGGCTGCGGCGGAACGCGCAGCGACCGAATGGGGCAGGAGCGGATGGAGGAGTGGCGGAGCAGATAGGACGGGACGAGAACGGGGAACGGGGCGACCAGAGGCGCGAGGAGAAGGAGAGTGAGGAGCGGGAGTGCGAGCAGAAGGGAATTGAGGAGGCGGAACGTCGCAGTGGTGGCGCAGAGGACACGACGATCGCTGCTCACGGCGTTGCTGGTGCGGACGGCGCGGATGGCGCGGACGGTGTGGATGGCGCGGACGGTGCGGATGGCGCGGGCGGTGCGGATGACGGCGATGGCGGTGCGGAGAGATACCGCGTGAATATTGGCGATGAGGACTCTCGTCGCTTGTCATGCACTGATGCCCGTTGCGCGCAGGGGAGCTCGTGCGCGGGAGGCGGGGGAAGAGCGCAAGAATGCTCGATTGACCCGGGCGGGGGGGAAGCGGAAGAGACGAGTGGGGAACTGGATGCGAGGGGAAGGATGAGGGAAGCAGAAGGGGAGCTGCGGAAGTGGAGGCGGGGAGAAGGAATGAGTGCGGAGATGAGGGGCGAAGGGGAGCGGAGAAAAGTGGGAAAGAAGGGGAGGGGGGAAGGAGGAGGAGAAGAGAGAGGAGGAAAAAGGGTGGACGCACAGGAGAGAAGGGTCTAGGTGCTGAGGGTGGAACGCAAGGGAATGGGCGCGAGGAGAGTGATGGGCGAGAGAGCGAGCTAGAGGATGGGAAGGAAAATGGTGAGCAACAAGGGAATGGGAAGCAGGGAAAAGAGGAGCAAGAGCAGGGGCAGCAAGAGGAGGAGCAACAGAACGGGAAGCAGAAGGAGGAGCAGGGGAAGGGGAAGCAGGGGAAGGAGGAGCAAGGGAAGGGGAAGCAGGGGAAGCAGGAGCAAGAGAAGGGGAAGCAGGGGAAGGAGGAGCAAGGGAAGGAGGAGCAGGGGAAGGAGGAGCAAGGGAAGCAGGGGATGGTGGATGAAGGGACGGGGCAGCAAGAGAAGGAGCAACAAATGAGGGAGGAAAGGAGGAGGAGGAAGCAGCAGGCACGTGAGCTGAAGAAGGAAAACAGGAGGCAGCAGAGGGAGAGACAGAAGCAGCAGAAACAAGAAAGGAAGGGGCGGAATCGGGAGCAGCAGCAGCAGCAGCAGCAGCGAGGGCGAGTGGGGCCGGTGTATCTGATGGACTTTGGCGGCAAGATAGAGGTGGAAGACAACCATGCACCTGCCCTCACTGCCGCTCGGTGAGCAATGCCCCTCATCCATCCTGTCCCACCGTGCCCTGCCCTGCCCTCTCCCCCCCTGCCCTGTCCTCCCATGCCCTGCCATGCTCTGCCCCGTCCTGCTCTACCTGTCCGCCTCTCGTCCAAACTCTATCTCCCACGCACCAACCCATCCATGCCACCACCCTGTTGTTCTCAGAGTGTCGTAGTTTTATCCTTTCCCATGTGACTGTATGCGATGTGTGCTTATTGCTTATTGCTTATTGCTCAGGGAGTACGTGGAGGAGCTTGAGGCTGGCTGTGAGAAGCTGGAGGGCGCCACGTGGCAGAAACGCGTTGCTGACGTGGCAGCAGCTCTGGACCAATCAGAGGCGTTCTATTGCAAGGCCAGCAAGTATGTTCTCTTCCTGTGCAACGAGAGGAGTCTCAGGGATAGCAGCAAGGATGTGACAGTAGGCAGTGTGACTGAAGATGAAGTTGCTTCAGATGGCATGACTAAATGTAGTGCTGCTTCTCATCCCGACACGGCTGAAGCAGCAACAACAGCGCCAACTGCAGCTCAGCTAAGCAGCAGGTGGGTGGAAGCATCAGCTGTGGTGGATCATCTCTTATGTAAGCGTCAGCTGCAGCCACCTCTTCATCTGAGGCTCTATCCTTCTGGCCCTATGGGAGGCGTTCAGGCATTCGTAGATCACATTTTGAGGCTTCAAGTAAACGATGCTTCTCCTGGCATTCCCTGTCCCCCTGCATTGAGTTCGGTCGAGTTACCATGCTCCATTGTTGATGCCTCAATCAGCTCACCATCGCTGGAAAAGGAAATTCTGATCTGATTTGCATGTGTAGTTTATTTAACAGCTCTCATGATTTGAGTTGTTAGAAACTGGTGCACATTGGAATCCGTAAATAATAACCCACACAGTAATGAGATTTATGAGCATGCATTAGGGAGTGCAGCTGCACTAGTCGGACATTCAGGGCATCTTATAGTGCATTTAGCGGGGATTGAAGGGGTTCGGGACCAGCTTGTTGTCGTCGTGCAATCAACAGCTGGCGGCCACCTGGAGACAGGCGTTACATTATCGTTTTGTGTGACGTGGCGTGTCAAATGAATCCACTTTGGCGCACCAGCAGTTCCGCAGTGGGCCAGTGGCCCAAGAGTTTCGCGTCCGGACAAACTAAGTGCGCTCATTCAGTTGCGCAAAAACCTACGCGTAATGAGTTCTTTTGTCATCTCATGCAGGTTCACCGTTTCGCAACTTCAAATGCTGACTGGATTCGCCTCAGCCATCAATCACAACGCCGTACGGCGAACCGAGCAGTCAAAAGTGTATTTTCCTCCAATCCCTGCCGTACAGATTGCACGTCAAGTGCACGAATGCCCTTTCCCAGGGCCAGGTGAATCCTACTCTTCATTTGCTACAAGCTACAGCACCCCGCAAACACTCGTACATCTGTCCATCGGTCCGTACCGTACCGTACCACACTCTGTTTGCCCGTGGTCAAATTGTAGAGACGACCGCCAAATTGCCAAGGATTGAAGGGGCGTTTTCTTACATTTCTTCAGGAGGAATTCCTTCCTGCTGGTTGTGTAACGAACCTGTCTCTTGACTTGTGATTTCCTCCAACAGTGTTGCTTCTCACATGGAGGTCCTTAGCGGCACGTTCGGCGATCCAATGAGCGGCGTTCGCAACGCGGCTGAGGCCCGAGCGGAGATCGCGCGACGTGTCGTTTCCGGCCTGCGATCCAACGCACACCCCAATCTTTTCGCAGAACCCAACGAATTTCCCGACCTAAGAGTATTCGCGGACGAGGCAAACTGGATCGACTCGAATCGCTTCGACGAGGAGCTCCCACCGGAGGGGGTCGCCCATGCGGAATGTCCGGAGAGCGCCGCGCCGCTGAGGCGAGGCAAGTCGCTGGGAGCGCCGAAGCAGAGCTGCCACGCGGTCAGCGGCGATTCGCTGTCACCCATGTCCCCGCGCCTTGATTCCGAAGCCAACGTATGGGAGGATTTCTGGCATGTCGGGAGTGTTGCCGGCGCCGGGGAAGACCTAACGCGGGTGGCGCGCGCGGGTGGCGCGCGGGAAGAGCTAGCGCGGGTGGCACGCAAGGTCGTGGCTTCCGCCGCTGCCGCTTCTCCTCGCTCTCGCCGTGATTCCCCGCCGAGCGTGGCGGAGAATTCGGCGGAGCGGGACGAGGGCGAATTAGACCTGTACGGCGTGGATGCATCGGCCAGGACTGATAACCTTTACGGTAGGCGTGGCGATAGCGAGGAATGTTTTATCGGGGATGAAGATTCTCCCCATTATGTGGGAACAGGGGAGTGGAAAGCAGACGGGCCGGGACTATCGGCGGAAGACGAGGAGAATGTGGGAGGCGGCGGTTACGGCGGCGGGGAGGAGGGCAGTGAGAGTGGTGGAGTGGCGGAAGGCGAGGGGGACTTGTACGGTGACGCGGAGGACGGGGAGGAGGAGGCGGAGGATGCGGAGGACGCGGAGCAGAATGACGAGGCGGATATTCACGAGGATATGTATGGCGGTGGCGACAGCGACGGGGAAGGGGAATTGAGCGCGGCGGAGCGGGAAGAGGGGGGCCTGGGTGGAGGCGAGGGGAGTGCGGCGGGGGAGGGAGTAGGCGGGGAGGAGGAGGGCGAAGGGGAGGATTTGTACGGTGAGTGCGGTGATAGTGACGCGGGGGAGGGGGAGGAGCAGGTGTGGGGGGAGGAGTGGGGCGGCGACGCGGTCGACGAGCCGATATTAGATGGGGGGGATGCGGAAGAGCGCGGAGAGGGAGAGGAGGACGTGGGAGGGGTGGGAGGAGATGGAGACGTGTATGGGGGGTGGGGAGGGGGGACGTGGGGGGTGGAGGAGGGAAGGGTGTGGGAGGAGGCGGGCGAGGGAAGCGAGGGGGAGAGAGGTCAGGGTGAGCGGGCGGAGCAGCAGGAGGAGCAAGAGGAGCAGGAGGAGGAGGAGGAGGAGGAGGAGGAAGGAGGACAGGAAGGAGGGAGCGGGGGGGATGCGTCTGCGGAGCCTTCCTGTTTGAGCACGCTCTATCAGCAGCTGTGCCAGGCGGGAGAGCGCGCAGCAGAGGAGTACCCTGGCTCTGAGGATCTGTACGAAGCCACGTCAGCACACGGCGGTGACACGGCAGAATTGGACGAGGCGGCAGCGGGCAGAGAAGGCACGGCGGCAGCAGAGGGCAGCCACAGAGTGGGGCGCCATGGCGGCCTGCCCCATCCTAGCCTGTCTCATCCCACCCTCCCGCATGCTGCCGCCCTGTCGCATGCCGCCCTGCCGCATGCCGTCCTGTCGCATGCCGCCCTGCCGCATGCCGTCCTGTCGCATGCCGCCCTGCAGGGCTTCCGGCAACGGGTACGTCTCTCACTTGACGTGGAGGTCGATGCTGACTCATCCTACCTCGCCGATGACGTCAGCGGTGACGACTTCGACTTCACTAGCGAGGACGCTAGTAGCGAGGTGCAGGGCGGCGAGGGGGGCGTGCCGGGCGGCGCAGCAGCAGTGGCTCGGTATCTGGCGGAATGCGCTCGTGATGGTGGTGATGGTGGTGATGACATGAGCGCTGGTTCTGGCTTTGATAATGGTGCTGCTGCTGCTGCTGGCGGTGCATGTGACATCTACGTGCATGTGCAGCGCACACAGGGGAGCGAGTGCGAGTCCGGGGAGGAGCTATTCAGCCACACGCTCAGCGGCAGCAGCGGTGGAGATGAGTCGCATACTGCAGGGGTGGGTGCAGCAGGGGTGGGTGCAGCAGGGGGGCGCATGGCAATGCATGGAGGCGGGGCGAGTGGTTTGGCAGGGCCCGGTGGTGTGGCGAGCAGCACGTGGCATGTGGGGGGGCGGAGCCCACTGGGAGGAGCAGGGAGGCAGCAGAGCGAGGTGGTGGGAATGGGTTTCAACGACTCGGCGCAGCAGGGCGTGGGAGTGGGGCAGTATGACGGTGCTGCCTTGCATTCCTATGCCAGTCTAAGCCCACACGACCACACCAGCCCTCACAAGCAGACCAGCCCTCACAAGCACAGCAGCCCACACAGCAACGCCAGTCCGCACACTTTCAGCAGCTCGCATGACTTGAATAGCCCCCCCAGCAACTTCAGTTCGCATATCAATGGCAGCCCCCACACAAACGTCAGTCCCCACAGCAATAGCCCTAGCAATTTTCAAGGGCATTCGAATCGTCATGGTGTGCCTGTATCGGTCCTCTCTCCACACGCCCTGCCTTCGTTGCACGAGGGGCATGAGACAGCGCAGATAGGGCGGCATGCTTGGTTGCAGCACAGCTGGCAGCAAGAACAGCAGCAGCAGTGGCAACAGCAGCAGCAGCAGCAGTGGCAGCAGCAACAGCAACAGCAACAGCAACAGCAACAGCAACAACAGCAGCTGCAACAGCAGCAGTGGCAGCAGCAACAGCAGCAGTGGCAGCATCAAACAGAGATCCACCAGCAGCAGAAGCAGGCAGCACAAGTTTCGGTGTCTCCCACATCTCGACTGGCCCGAGCACTCTCCATGCAGCCTGCTGCCTCCTCTGCTGCCTCTTCCTCTGCTGCTGCTGCGGTTGCTGCCGCTGGGGCACTGATTGCAGCTGCACCACAAGCCCAGCACCTCCCCCGCAACTCCCCCACCAGCGCGTTTGCAAGCACCGGGGCAGCAGCAGCTCGTCTGGCCTCCACAACTTCAATGCAGCCTGCTGCCTCCTCGGCTGCTGCTACTGCTGTTGCCGGGGCACTGAATGCCACCCCTCTACAAGCGCAATACTTCCCCAAAAACTCTCCAACTGGTGCGTTCACACATGCGGCAAGCACGGGAGGAGCAGCAGCAGCAACTCGACTGGCCCGCACCACCTCCATGCAGCCTGCTGCATCCTCTGCTGCTGCTGCTGCTGTTGCTGCTGGGGCACCGAATGCTGCTCCACCACAAGCCCAACACTTTCCGGGAAACTCCCCAACAAGCGCTTTTGCACATAGTGCAAGCACAGGGGCAGAAGCAGCTCGACTGGCCCGCACAGCCTCCATGCAGCCTGCTGCTTCCCCCTATTCCGCTGCTGCTGCTGCTACTGCCACCTCTCCGTATTCCACTGCTGCTGCCGCTGTTTCTCCTTTTTCGGCTGCTGCTATTGCAGCGGGGGCAGTGCAGGGTGGTGCAGCCCACGGCAAGCAAGTGCCTGGCCTCTCTCCCACGGGGGCCTTTGCTCGTTCAGTCAGCATGGGGGCAGCAACCAGAGCGGTGAATGCAGCAGGCAGAGGTGGGGGTCAGCCCATGCGGGGTCTGCAGGTGGAGTTGCCGAGAAATGTGGGTAAAGGTGGCGGCAGGAACGCGAGCAGCACCAAAATCACAGGTGGCACTGGCAAGAAGGTGAGCGCTCATTCCACTGGAGCTGTTGGTGCCGGTGGTGCTGCTGGTGGTGCTGCCGGTGGTGGTGGGTTAGGGAGCAAGGCTGCACTGAGCAAGTCCCCCTCTCGTGCTCGCCTGGCCTCGTCCCTCTCCCCACCCTCTTGCCGCATGAATGAGCTTCTGTCTGCCTCCACCCACCCACGAGTCCCTGCAGTGACCCCCAAGGGTGAGAGGGGCGGCGGGAGTGGCAAAGGCAAGGGTGGGGGAGGGGAAGGTGGTGTTGGGGTAGGCTACACCACGGGGAGGCTGCTACTGGCAGAGCAACAGAGGAAGCAGCAGCAGCAGCAGCAGAAGCTGCAGCAGCTGCTGGTGAAGGACAGTCCGAGCAATGCCGCCCGAGCCAGCTCAAACAACGCAGCTGCAAGCAACAGCAGTGCCATTCCTGTCGGCAACAGCAACAGCAACAGCAACAGTGGCACTGCTGCGTACACTCGCTCTGCTTCTCTCGCACGCAGCACCTCCAAGCTCATGCGAACAGCCTCTGCGGTGGGCACACAGGAGAAAGTGGGGAAGGGTGGTGCCAGTGGTGCTGGTGGTGGTGAAGGGGCGGGAAGAGGAGGGGCTGCAGCAGCACTTGCCAGGACTAACAGCACTGTCGCTGCAGCAGCACTTGCCAGAAGTAGCAGCACTGTCGCTGCAGTGGCAGCAGGAGCGGCAGCAGCAGGGGTGGAGGCAGGTGCATCGAGAGCAGGGCTGCAGCGCACCAAGAGTGGAAGCAAACTCAAGGTGGCAGTGGGGAAGACCAGTGCTGCCAAGTCTCCTGCACCGCCTGCAAGGGCGGCACAAAGGGTGTATGTAGGAAAGTAGAGGGGATGCCACGAGGTGTTGAATGGACAAACCCCATGTGACCTGCATGCCCAGCAATGTTAGAAATGTGAATCAAATTAATAAAATATGACAACTATATTCTACATATGGTAGCATAACTATCATAAAGCACACGAGTCCTCTTTGCAAGGGCCTGATGCTGATACCATAACCATACCGTACCACTACCCACAACAAATTAAATAGAAATATATCGTATGTGCCCAATGCAATACGCCCAATGCAATACGCCCAATGCTGTGCACGCAGGCAGTACCATGCGCACACTGCTGTGCTCCCTCTGAACAGAGTGCATGCACAGCACACGGCTCCCTGCCTAGTGCCCGCCCCAGCTTGCAAAGAATCCTCTCAAGTGGCCCTTCTTTCCATGCCCTGCCACTGCAACTGCACCCATCTCCCCTGCTGCCCCACCTGTCCCTGCTAGTGCTCCTGCTGCTGTTACTGCCACAGCATGTGGTGCAGGCAACCCCTCTGTAGGCCCACCTAGCTCCACCACACGCACGGCATTCCTAGCAGCCTGCGCCTTCACCCGCCTCTCAACGCTCATACTCCTCTCAACCACTCCCCCTCCCCTCCCCCCACCACCATCCCCACCAGCCCCCATGCCCTGCCCTGCCTTCATCCCGATCCGTCCCCCAGCCCGCACCTGCTGCGCTGCTCCGGATGCGGGGCCTAAGCTGCAGCTTCGGAGAGGCGGGCCGACATTGATGGGTTTGGGGGGGGAGCGGGGGCTATCAGCAGAGCACCAGGGAATGTCTAGGATGGGCAGGGAGGGAAAGTCTCTTCTAGCAGGGGGGGCGCCCACAGGAGTCTGAATCTCTGTGGGCGACAAGGGCTCTACAGGGTACAGGTCAATTATTCCGTTTGGGAGGTAGGGCGGGGTGGGCGACGGTGCTTTAGCTGACATGGACCGTGGCATTGCGGTTCGGCTGCTGCTGCTGCTGCTGCTGGTGGAAGGTGAACCGTTATTGGCAGATCCGTTACTGGGATTGAGACGTCCGGACTGTGCGCGGCGGAGGGCTTTCATCTGAAGTTTCCCGGGTCCGGGTTGGCGATAGGCGTAATCCGGCTGCCCGTTCATCTGCCCGTGAGTATACCCCTGCCCGTGGCTGGGACCGTGCTGCTGCTGGTAACCACCTTGTGGGATTCGTTCCAGCTCTTCGTCTGGAACGCTCATGCTTCGTGCAATCACAGATGGACGAACGTTCTGCCTCACAGGCTGTGCGCATTGCTGGTTACTGAGCTGGTTACCACTAGGTCGAGGAGCGTTACAACCCCCTGCGACACCAGCAGCACCACGAGGGGCAATCCCCGGCCCTCCCTGCTTGCACCTGTCTAGATCCATCGAACCGCTTCCCATAGTAGCGCGATCCCCGCTGATGCACTTGCGCATTGACCGCGCCTGGTTGGAAGCCAGCCGCCCACCCGCAGCGTTCCCCGCGGGCAGTCGCGCCCCGCAATTCCCGCCGCCAGTACCGGAGTACGCGGCATTGCTACCATGTATTAGCTCCGCGGGCTCGTCGCTGACAGAGGCGCCGGCGATCGCGGCGGCTGCCTGGTCTAACGACGCCGCGGAAAGACTAACGGAGCGATTCTTCGCGGGGACGGCGGCGGCAGAAGCGTAGCGCTTATGGTGCGGAGGCGGGGGTGCGCTGATGCGCAGTTGGCGGTGCTGGTGGCGCTCCTGCTCGTGCTCCGCGGCGTAGTGTCCCGCTGGCACTCTCTGCGAATAGTCCACTGACGCAGCGGACGCCCGTGTCCTGCTGCGGGTCACATACGTATCTACGTACTCGTGACTAGGCTCCCCGTTTCGGTTAGGTTCTCGGTAATCTCGAAGTTCGGACCGGCCGGCGGACTGAGAGCGACGGTAACTGTTGGGCGGAACGCGCACCTGCTGCTGCTGCTGAAGCTGCTGCTCATATTGCTGCTGCTGGTGCGGGTGATGCCTTTCGGGGTGCGAAGCTGCGTGCGACGGCTGCTGCTGAGTCGCCGGTTGTTTCAGCGGACTGAGTCGCTCCCTCGCTCCCTCGTCACGACGAGAACCATGATCCCTCTCTCGTTCCCTTTCTCGCTCGTACCCGCCGCGTCTGGGACTATCCCGCTGCTGCCGCCTCGCGCCGTCGCCGCCCCTGCTCGCATCCCCCTTCCTCGCCGGCGTATTCTGCGACCGGTTCCGCGACTGCTTCCTGCACGAATCCGGCGACCGGCTTGACCGGCTTGACCGACTCGTCCTGGACGCGTTATCGTCGGAACCGCTCCACGATTTTGCGTCTCGCGGAGACTGCGTTGACTCCGGGGAACTCAACGACCGCCTTGACTCCGGCGAACGCGGAGACCGCGTAGATTCGGGAGAGCGCGGCGACCGCGTTGACTCAGGGGAACGCGGCGACCGCGAGCCTGAGCGACGGCGCGAGCTGCCGTTCGAGTCGCACCTTGTGTGGCGTCTGTCGCTGCTTCGAGGCGACGAGCGATTGCTGCTGCCGTCATTGTCGCTGCCGTCAACATCGCTGCCGTCATTGTCGCTGGCATCACTGGCTTCTTCGTTCTCGCTAAAGTCGTCGTCAGTACAGCTATCAGTAGGCTCGTCCTTACTCTCGTACTCAGTACTATCTTCGTCCAGGCACTTCTCACTTGGCCGTCGGTCATGGCGGTCCGCTCTGTCTACACCGTCCCTTCCACTGCCTGCTGCTACCTTCTCCCGACCGTTGCCGCTACTGCTAGCGCCTCTGCCGCCGGCTCTCCCGCCACCTCTACCGGGAGCTCTACTCGTTCGGCTGTGCTCATCCTCCGAGTAGCTGTCAGCTGACACGTCATCGTGACGCCCCACGGGAGATTCAGCGCACTCCTTGCCCGTTCTGGCACGCTCGCGGCGCGTGCTAGATGTTCCGCGCGCTTGCGTGGAAGACTGACGTGGTGCACCTGCTGTATAGCCCATAAAGACCCTCCTTTTGGTTCCAGCACTCTTTCCGCTCTAAGTGCTTACAATGACAAACTCGAGCTAGTCGGCAAACGTGTGTCGATTAGGAGGCGAGCGAGGTGAACACAGGCAAATTGAAGGAGGCAGGGACTGGGGAAAAGGATGCAGGAGTCCATGTCCAAGGTGTAAATTGCACAAATTCACTGGATGACCATTTGTGGGCAAACCTTCCAGGCTCGAGCAGAGGAGAATGGTAGCTGCAGGGGAAGGCTTGCTTGGTTTGTGCAAGCAAGGCATGACCTGGAAGTTGGTGGGCTGGGCAAAACAAGGGGAAAGGGACTAGGAGGCACCAGCACACCATCACCACCACCACCACCAGCTGCTAGGCAGCACCCTCAAGTAGATTGTGGAACTGCCCCAAAATGGAAATACCGACGTTCGTGAAACCCAAGGTTCACCTTGGAAACATGCCACACCGAGCCAAACCAGACCAGATTCGGCCAAACCATAACAAATCTCCCCGGTCAGGCCAAACCAGCCCAATGTGGCCCAAACCAGAACATTTTCATACCGAACCAGACCAAATTGGCCCGAACCAGAGCTTCTCACCAGCAATTGGTCTAGGAAGCCACGTCACACGATTCTCACAAAATGCCATTCGCTGTCGAATCATACCCCTGTCAGCCACAAAACGTGAAACCCCCCCGCTGTCAGCAGCAGGCCCGTGTAACAAACATTTCGCCAATGACACTACATCTGTGTACCACACCAATAGTTTCGTCAAACATTTCGCAAAACCGTCACAGGCATCTCTTCGCTTGGATCCGACAGAAGCCAAGTCCTTGTCAAGATACTCAGAGCGAGCAGCAAGATCTATCCAACCGCAACTCCTTCACATCCAAGTTCCTTCCAATGACTAGGGTAGGTTATCCTAATTGGCTCGCTGACTGACATGAATCTCACACGAACCGCCGTGCCTTGATCCGAAATGTCGGTTGGCTGTTCCCGCCTTCGATAACGTTTACTCAATTGCTCTGAGCCATAGATCGGTTCCGCTTGAAAGACATCCGATGATTCTAGCTCACTCAGTCCCACGCTGTAGTCCCAACGGCCATCCCTCCAGGCCAACCTCAGTTTCTGAACCTGTTAGGTTTGGAGCCGCGCGGCTAGATTATGACAAGGATTTTTTTCTCGGTAGCCGTCCAGCGAACCGCGATAGTTGGGGTCCACAGCCTCAGTCCCCCCCACTCACTTGGGGTTGGCTGTGGAATACCAAGCACGGACATTCAGTCAGGAATATTGCAGGAACGACATTCCAACCAGCGGTTTCAAAGAGCCACATTTTCACCAGGGTTTTCTCAGAGCGACATTTTCACCAGTCAGTTTAGACATTCGCACATTCATTTGAACATTGCGCTCGATCCTCTTCGACTCAAACGTAGCCTTAGATGAAGCACATTGCCACTTCGACCGGGCAACTGTCTCATATCGTTCGCACACGCGATTAGCAACGAGCCTCACGCGCATCAGGAGGATTGGTTCGTAGACTCGCTGGTGGTTTCGCGGAGCTTCTACGTGCTCTGACATAGGTAATTTCTTATTCGGCTGTACTTCAGCGTGCCTTTTCTATCCATTCGTCATCGTTTTTGCCAGTTTCTGACGTGCGTATTTTTCTTCTGCAGGAAATGGAACATCGTCAGTCCATCATCAATGTCTGCTGTAGCTGACCATTTTCCAACCTCAAAGAGCATGTTTGCCGAAACAACGAAACTCCACAGTACCACGACGTTCCCTCGCGGAAAAGGTAATGTCTTTAATGATTTAGCCACCTTTTGTTGCATATATTGATCAATTTCTGATTCCACGTTTCTTCAATTGTTTACAGGCAGCTGAGCATCCGAAAACCTGTCAATGTCCGCCATCCAAGGTCGCCTTCCGCCACAACTGACTGATCTGCGTCGTCCGCGGAAATTGCGACGGACTCAAGCACACCAGCCACTGCGAGCTCGCGATTCCGCTCGTGGTTCAAGGTACAATCGAGAACTCACAATGGCATTCCGTTTTTACGCGCGTCAATTATAAATAAAACTTGTTTCAAGGATTCAAATCTCACAGATGTCTACGCTGTTTACTTTTCAGGACTGGCAGCACATCAGCCATGCAGAGACGAACATGCGATGGCTGAAACGCGCAGTGGAGGAGTACATGAGGAGCCCGAAGCAGCATGGCTTGCGTTTGACAACGTACATGGCTCCCAGGCTTCACCTATTGCCCGCATCGACGACCAATCATCAGCTAAGTGCTCGCATCCCACGCCAGCCCTCGGTTCGTTTTCTTGTCATTCCAGTTTCTCCCAAAACGGGGCCACTGGTGGCAGCACACGAAACAGCCCACAGACCCTCCCCATTACTGGTAAAGCCCTCCCCCAGGTAAAGCCTATCTCCAGGTAAAGCCCTTTGGTAAAGACCGTAGTCTGTGGCTTGTGAGTGTGCGTCCACCAGTGGCCCTCCTTTCCCTCTTCTTCTATGTATGTGTCCCCTTCCATGTAGTGACTCCCTCC